AGAAGAGAGGGAGATAGAAAGGAAAGAAAACGAGAGAGAGGTGAAAAATGGAGAGGAGAGAGAGAGAGGGCGAGGAAAGAGAGAAGAACAATGGAAAGGAGGAGAGAGATAGAGGAAGGGAGGGAGGGAGGAGGAGGAGAAAGAGAAAAAGTGGAAAAGAAAAAGGGGAGTGGAACGGAAAGAAAGAAAGAAAGAAAGAAAGAGGGAGAGAAAACCACCCAAACTGGAATAAACTAAAGAACTTTACTTTTCCATCTCTTATCTCTCTCTCCTCGTGTCACCTGTCTCCACCTGTCACTCACCTGTCACTCACCTTGTCTCTCACCTGTCACACCTGTCCCTCACCTGTCCTCACCTGTCACTCACCTGTCCTCACCTGTCACTCACCTGTCTCACCTCACTCACCTCACCTCCCTCCCTCACTCACCTGTCCCTCACCTGGTCACTCACTGTCTCTCACCTGTCCCTCACCGTGTCACTCACCTGTCCTTCACCTGTCTCTCACCTGTCACTCACCTGTCACTCACCTGTCCCTCACCTGTCTGTCTCACCTGTCCCTCACCTGTCCCTCACCTGTCCCTCTCACCTGTCCCTCACCTGTTCTCTCACCTGTCCCTCACCTGTCTGTCCCTCACCTGTCTCTCACTCACCTGTCCCTCACCTGTCCCTGTCCCTCACCTGTCCCTCACCTGTCTCTCACCTGTCTCTCACCTGTCTCACCTGTCTCTCACCTGGTCCCTCACCTGTCTATCACCTGTCTCTCACCTGTCCCTTACCTGTCACTCACCTGTCTCTCACCTGTCGCAGGTAAATCGGACGTTTATATTCAGTTGGACCTGGAGGCAGAGTTTCACTTCACCCACCTCATCATGACCTTCAAGGTGAGACCAGGACTAAACCAGAACTAAACCAGAACTAAACCAGAACTAAACCAGGACTAAACCAGAATAAACCAGAACTACCAGGAAAACGGACTAAACCAGAATTAAACCAGAACTAAACCAGAACTAAACCAGAACTAAACCAGAACTAAACCAGGACTAAAACAGGACTACACCTCCACCAGCTCCATAAAGAACCATGAGGAGCTAAAGCTGAAGCCCTGAAACCATCACAGAAGAAAACAGGAGCTTCACCTGCCCACACAGCACCTGCCCACACAGCACCTGCCACACACACCTGCAACCAGCCCTACACAGCACCTGCCCACACACCTGCCCATACACACCTGCCCACACAGCACCTCCCATACAGCACCTGCCCCATACAGCACCTGCCCACACAGCACCTGCCCACCACAGCACCTGCCAACACAGCACTGCCACACAGCACCTGCCCCACACCAGCACCGCCACACAGCACCTGCCCACACAGCACCTGCCCTCACAGCACCTGCCCACACAGCACCTGCCAAACAGCACCTGCCACACAGCACCTGCCACACAGCACCTGCCCACACAGCAACCTGCACACCCCACAACAGCACCTGCCAAGCACAGCACCTGCCACACAGCACCTGCAATACAGCACCTGCCCACACAGCACCTGCCCCTACAGCACCTGCCCATACAGCACTGCCCACACAGCACCTGCCGGCCTCATCCTGACAGTGGCAGAGTGGTTAGCACCTGGACTCAGGGCCATGTTGTGTTTCTGTGTGGAGTTTACATGTTTTCTCCAACCAAGTCCAACCGAGTCCATCCAAGTCCATCCAAGTCCAACCAAGTCCAACCGAGTCATCCAAGTCCAACCGAGTCCATCCAAGTCTAACCGAGTCCAACCAAGTCCATCCAAGTCCAACCAAGATCTGACCTCTCTTCTCTTCTCTTCTCTTCTCTCTCTTCTCTTCTCTTCTCTTCTCTTTCTT